CGCCGCGCCTTTTAAGCCCCGCGCGGTGGCCTGATCGGGCGGAGGAGGGGCGCGCCCGCCCCCTCCGCGGACGGCGCAGGGCGCCCCCGCCCGGGCGGGGCGGGTCTGCCCCGGCCCGGCCCGTCCGGGGGCCCGGGGAGGCGGCGCCCGCAGCCCGGATGCCCAACCCAGTGGCCCTGGCCCCGCCGAGCCTTGCCGGCCCCGCCGTGGTCCGGGCACCCACGCAGGCCGCGGGCACCTCGCCAGGGCATCAGGGCATGGACAGAGACCGCGCCCTGGGCAGCCCGCCGCTCGGGGCACGAGGGCCTTGTGGCCAGATCGGGCATCTAATCCGGCATCTCCGGGGCAGCTTTGACCCGGAGCCACGAGGCTGAAAAACCAAGCCCTTCCCCGTGCGTTGGGTTTGCTGGCAGACTTGCTGTGATCGCCGAGGCTCTGCTAACTGCCAGGTTAACCGTCATGGCGGCCCACGTGCTCCCCAAATTTGCCCGGGTGTTTGAAACTCGCGGTTGCCGGCATCTTGAATGGGTTTAACTCATCTCTCGGATAACCCGGCCTGCAGATGGCTTCCACTTTGAGCCCTCGCTCCAGAGCAGGATGCCCCGACCTCCCCCGTCCAGGGGAGCTGCGCCCCTCGTTTCTGGGCAGTCCTGGCAGGTGGCTCGTGAGCCCTTCGCTCTCCCGGAGTCTCACGGGGCATTTGCGAGGAAATGAATGCCTGTCTCTTGATGCCTTCGTTAATGGAGGTGGGTGTGTTCTCCACTCTGCCAGAGAAGTGGCTGAATCCCCACCTTCCCCAGCAGCTCAAGGTGGGAACAGAGCAAAAGGTGGGCCTCAGAACTGTCGACACTGCTGCACTTTTTGGCTCTGGCCGGAGAAGTGGCGAGCCATGCGCAGCGGCCGTGTTCCTGCTTGCCAGAGGCGTTCCTGGATGTCCCGAATTCAAGCACTCAGAATTGTCAACTTCTCGGCCATTTTGCCGAGCGGAAGATGCGACTGGCACCAGGCGGCTCTAAGAATTTCTGCCAGGGGCTATCAAGACTCAGCACGGTCCCTCGCCAGCTACGAAGTGCCGCCGTTCATGCCGTGTGGATATCAGGCACCCTCCAGTTGTGGAGAGTTTCAGCCAGCAACGGTCGGGTATCGCGCGCAGCGGAGGACAAAGGCCGGATGTGGGACGCTTCCGAAAGTTGGGCGACTGTCTGAGAAGTGCAGGAATGGTGGGGGGTGCTCCCTCGTGGCACACAGGCACCCAGAGCCCCTTCCCTCCTGCCCCCCAGGGGCGAGAGGATGGGCCTTTGTGTTCTCCTGGTGGCAGGCCAGGCAGGCTGGACTTTCCCAGGCCGATGCGGAAAGGGTTAGCTGCTGAGCGCCTCTGTTCCCTGCCGCCGGGCCTGACCGAGAGTTACCTCGGGAGCCCCCCCCCCCCCCCCCCCAGACTCATGAGTGGCTTCCAAGAGGGTGGGCTGAGGCCGGTCGCCATGGCGACCGAGATGGGGTGATGCGGCAGGGCCCGTAGGATGCAGCCTCCGGGGGACGCTTCCCCCATGGCCCCCTTCATGTCCCAGGATGGAGCTCTTTGTCCCCCGGCGGTGCCCAGCCCACGGGTGCCACACCGTGGCCCCGTGGACTTGGTCCTGCGGCGCCGTCGTCCTGGGGAGGGCTCTGGCTGGGCTGCCCCCTCTGGCCCAGTGGGGCTGCCGCTCGGGGGCTGCTGTGGAGCCAGCAGGGTGATAAGCCCCTGCCCCCCGTGTTTTGCTCCTGGAGGAGCCTTGGCCCCAAGGCCCTTCCTGAGCTCGCTGGCTGAGACCCTGGCGCTTATCTCCTTGGCGGCCGATCCCGGGACTGGCTGCCCCGTCCCGTCCTCCTCTTGGACGGAGACCAAGGCACTCGGGGAGCAGCCCTGCAGACAGCTGTGGCCGGAGCGACCAGGACCGGAAGAGGCCGCCTCGCACGGCACTGGCCCCTGGCCTGGTTTTGCCCGCTCCGACTGGCAGCATCTCTGGAGTGGGGTGGGGGGTTCACAGGGCCCAGCAGAGCCCCTCTGCCAAATCCCAGCAGCCCGGCCGAGATGCCTTCGTGTTCTCCCAATGCTGTAAGAGCTGAACGTTTTAATCGAGGTTTCATTGCTGATTGGAAATGTCACGAGGAAGCTGTGTTTTGCTTGATCTTGTCTTATTGTTAAACCGTCCCTAGACCAGGAAGAGTTTTGCGTTAATAAATAAACTCCGGGCCGGCTCTTCAGCTCAGCCTTCCTGCCAGTGCCAAGAAGGAGCCAGGGTTCCTCCGGGCCCTTCCTCCGAAGAAACCATCAGAAACGAGTGCTCCGGGCTCCCAGCTTTCGGGGACCCACCGCGAATCCAGCCCTCTGCCGGCGGGGTGGGGGGCATGTCTCTGCTTCATGCAGCTGCCAGGGCAGGGGAGGGGTGGCTGCACTCTCCTTCCACATTGTCTCCCCCCTTTTCAAAGATCCCATTTACAATTCAGATTTGGGGGCGAGAGCCGGAGGCGGGCGGCCCCACAGCCAGGCGTGGCGGCGGAAAGAGCGTTTGGAGCCGACAGGAAGATGCGGGGCCCAGAAGCGGCGGGCGCTCCGGGGCGGGCGCAGCTTCGTGTCTCCGGCAGTGATTGTATTGCTGGGTTGAAACACCGCATTTCCCCCCGCGCGGAAAGGACCTCGGCGTGGCTCCCCAGGGCGACTGGAGAGAGGCAGGCGCGGCGCCGGCGGCCACGGAAGCGGGAGGCGGGCGGGACAAGCGGCGGGACCCCCGGGAGGGCCAGGCGGGGCCGGCTCAGTCCGGCTGCAGTCGCAGAACCGGGGGGCCACCGGCCCGCGCCCGCCCGCTGCAGGGCGCCAGGTCGGGGGAAGGCGGCCAGCGGCGAAGCCGGCTCCCAGCGCGGCGAGGACGTGGCCGCAGCGCCGCCAAGCGCTCGCTCTCTGCGCGACGCCGCTCTTTCCCCGCGAAGCGCCCGCCCCTGCAGGAAGCCGTTCAACAGGTCGTGCCCGGAGCGCACCTTCTTCCAAAGGAGGCCCGCGTGTCGCCCGGTCTTGTGGCCCAGCACCACGACCTCCGAGGCTCCCTGACATGGGGTGGCCATGGGGAGAGCGGCACCCCCCGGCCAGGAACGGCTCGGCTGGAGAGCAGATCCTGGTGAAGCACAGAGGGGAAGGTGCTCCAGCAGGAGATCCCGGCTGCAGAGAGGAGGTGGGGGCGCTAGGGGGTCTTGGACCCCCGCCTGGCAGGGCTGCCGTAGCCGCAGCCTGGATCGTCCGGGGGTTGGACTGGATGATCTCCGAGGTCCCCTCCGGCTTGAGGACTGAACAGAGAACAGGCTGTGGAGAAAGGGCCCCCTCGGCCTCCCCTTCCCGCCTCCGCACTGCTCCCAGGCTGCGCTGGGGAAATGAATTGTGAATAGCTAGCGTGGCTTCCACTGCCAGCCAGAGGCTGGGCCCCTGCCAGTGCCGGCCGGCCCACCCCAGCTGTCCCTGTCTGTGGCCAAACCCCGCCTGGAGCCTGGAGCAGGCAGCCCTCGGAGCCTCGCCTGAGCACTCCGCCGAGGCCCCCAACCGGACGCTGGGGCCTCCGCCTGGCCGGCTGCAGCGGCAGACTCTCTCTCGCACCCCTTCCAGGTACTGGGCCAGCTCCTCCGGGGGGGCATGGGGGACGAGCCCGGGGGAGCCATGTGGGCTAAGCGGGAGGTGGGCTGGGTGCATCTCTGCAAACCGGGCAGTGGCACAGACCTGCAGAGAAGCGTCCCACGGACAGAGCGCCATGGGGACCCAGCAGGCCAGCCGGCCAGGACCCTCAGCCCTGCCCAGCGATTTTGTACCTGGGCTTCCCAGATTCATAATCGTTGAACTGGTCTCGGTACTGGGCGTGGAGAAGGCTCCTTCGGAAGCGGCCTGCAGACTGGCAGAAGCGCAGGACCGGGGGGGGGGGGGCTGTCGGTTGTCTAGAGGCGTGGGGTCCGCTCCCTGAGCTGGGAAGGGGCACGTGGGCCGCATTTTGCCTACAGGAAGCGCCCAGCTGTGGCTGAAAACCCACAAAAGGGCTCTCGGAGGATCGGAAGCCGTCGCCTGGAACGCCGGGGGTTCCCAGTGGCTCACGCCAACTTCCCACGAGGGACGCCCCTCCCAGTGCCATCAGGCAGGGCAGGTGCAGCTGTGGGGGGGGGGGGCTTGGGGCACAGATTCCCCGGGCGGGGATTTCCCAGACCAAATGCCTGGTGTGGCAAGCGGCAACCTGTCGTCCTCGTGCCACCGCCCGGGGCGAATCCAACGGCGCCCTCCGGGACTTGAGGCCGGGCCGGGCACGAGCGCCACCGATTCCCTCCTCGGTTCCCCAGCAGGTCCGCAGCCCCCGCCTGGCCCCCGCCATGCCTTTGGACCTGAGAGACCCCCCCGGCCCGCGGGAGCAGGGCTGGTACCTGGCGCTGATGGCCCCCAACATCAAGGGCCCCAACTATGCCTGGCTGGACCCCTCCCGCCTCTACTGCCACCCCCAGGTAGGGCTGGGCGGCGACGCCGGAGGCCCCGGGGGAGGCGTGGGGCCTGCAGGCGGGGCCGGGGCTGCCGGTGCAGGTCCATCGCGCGTCCCGGGCGGCCACCCGGACGTCTCGGGGCTTTGGCGTCCCCAGCCACCCGCAGGCAAAGGCTGAGGGTTCGGGCCGGCCCCCCGCTGCGTTCTTGCGCCTTCCACCCAAACAATACCCCGCCTGACCGTAGCACCTGCTTGCGCGTACAGGTGCGCCGGCCCACCTGGCCACCCTTGCCACAGCCTGGGCTGCCGGGCAGCGTCCGCCCGCCACCGGCCAGGGCCTGGCCCGGGGGGATGCTCCGCTGGGCTTGTGGCTCCGGTGCCGTCTGTGGCGAGGGGCCGCGCCGGGTCCCTGCGCATGCGGCCCCTGACGACCCCCCCCCCCGTGCCCGCAGGCCCTGCAGGACTGCGTGGAAGACCTGCTGGGGCCGTTCCGGGGCGATCCCATCGACGAGGTGGCGGGGATTGACGCGATGGGATTCATCCTGGGTAAGCACCGCCCCGGTTCTGTCCACCGGCCTCGACCAGTGCTGGGACCAGTCCGCAAGCCAAGCTGGGGTCCCGCTCCGCCCGTTGCGCAAGGCAACGGGCGACGCCAAGGCCTCCCTCCTTAGCGAGGACCTAAACCCAACCGGACACCCTCCGGACACGCTGGGCTTACCACTCTCAGCACCCCCAGCCAGTTGCCGGGGATGGTGGGAACTGAAGTCCACCCCGGCCAGGTTCTAGAAGAGGTGACACGTTGCACTCTCCCCTTCTGCTCTGAAGCCCGAGAGAGCCGTGGGATGCTCGCGGTGGATGGGCAGGTGGGGCAGTGTGGGGCAGTGGTTACAGCAGCGGCGCCCAGCCTGGTGCCCTCCCGAGGTTTGGGGCTTCCGTTCCCGTCAGGCCCAGCCGGCACGGGCAGGAAAGCTGTGAGCTGTGCCGTGCCCCCCGCTGCAGGTGCCGCCATGGCCAACGCCCTGCGCAAGGGGTTTCTGGCCATCCGCAAGGCCGGGCACCTCTGCGTGGAGACCCTCGCCCAGCCGTTCACAGACTACTCGGGCCGGGACAAGGTCCTGGAGGTGCGGAGCGACGTGATCACCCCAGGTGGGCGCTGCGCCTTCCCCCGCGGCTGGGGCCTCACCCGCCTCCCTCCCCAGGCCCGTGGCTCCCGACAGGTCTGACCTCACCCCCCTCCGCTCTGCCCCCTCTCGCCCAGGGCTCCGCGTCTTGCTGGTGGATCAGTGGGTGGAGACGGGCGGAACGATGCAGGCGGCCATCCGACTGGTGGAGCAGCAGGGAGGCGTGGTGGCAGGTAGGCGGGCGTTCTCGCCAGGCCTGTCCCTCGGGGGACCCCCAGCGGCCCTTCACCAGGCCTGGGCACCCAGCCCCGGAAGGGGCCCCTCCCGAGCCCGTGCCGCTTTCGCTTGCGGGCTTCCCCGGGCCACGTGGTGGTCGGTCCATGGCGGGAAACTGAGTCAGGTCGTCAGAATCGCTTCATTTCCTCCGCCAGCAAGCAGAGCTAACATCGCAGGGAAGCCAGCAGACATCCCAAACGGGCGCCGCCGTTATATCCGTTCACCGTAACCCAGGGATTCCCAAACCCAGCGTCCTGCTCCGGCAGCTGCCCAGCATTCGCACCAAGCGCCACTGCCTCCCCCTTCCTTCCTTCCTTCCTTCCTTCCTTCCTTCCTTCCTTCCTTCCTTCCTTCCAGGGATCGCCGCCGTCTGCATCGAAGACAGCGAGGGTGGCCACTGGCTGAAGGAGAACTACAAGTGGTCCCACTGCGTGCCGCCCCATCTGATGCCCGAGTTCAACGCCCACCAGCTGGACTCCTTCTGGGGGGACCAGACGAAAGTGGGGCAGCAGTAGCCACGTGTCCCCACAGGGCCCCGCGGTGCCGGAGGCGGCCCGGCTGAGCCTGCAGCCTCCCCCGTCTCCATCTGGGGACACCCAGCAGCCACCCAACCCCTGCCCGCCCAGGCGACGCTTCGGACTGTGGTCCTCCCAGTGTAACCACTGCTCTGGCTGGGAACCGGCCCTCTGGGAGGCCTTTCCAGCCCCCCAGCGCCATTTACCCAGCAGGCCCCCGTGCAGCCAATAAACTGCCCTTGTGGACAGTGTCGTTTTTGTTGTAGGAGGTGTCTAAAAAGGATCGCCGAGTCGTTCCGGGGGGCTCCCAGCAGCCTCCCTCACCCGGGCGTCCTCCAGATGGTTTGGACCCCCGCACCCAGCAGCCCCAGCAGGGGGGCCAAGGCTCTGGGGCTTTTGCAGAGCGGCAGCGTCACGGACCTGCTGCAACGGGGGGTGCCAAGACAGCCCTGCTTTGCATGGGGGCGCTCACGCTGACCCACAGCGATTTCCTCGGAAACGGGATGTGCGGCACCAGGCGATGGGACCCCCACCCCGAAAGTTGCAGGAGATTAAGTGGGGGACAGGCAAGCGCTTGCTTCTCCTGTCTCAAGACTGGGCCCCCTTCCCCCCGGGGAACGCGGTTGCCCCCCGACCCTCGGACGCCCGTCTGCAGGGGCTCCTGAGAAGGCGAAGGAGGCGCGGAATGAGGGACGGGATCGTCGACCCGCAGCCAAGAGGGGGACTTTGGGCCAGCCGGACTCTCGGCCCGGCCTGCCTTGCAGGGTTGTTGTGGGGGATCAGAATGGGAGCGGCCGGGGACGCCCCTCGCAAGGGAAAAGGTGGGGCGCGGATCTAATAAGCAGGGGGAATTAAGGGGGGCTCTTGAGCTTGGGGAGGGAGCGAGTCCCGAGCAACTGGCCCAGCCCCTCGGACTACAGCTCCCAGAAGGCCCTGCGGCATCCGGCCTGGCGCTCGGTCCTGCGAACGTAGAGCGCGCGTCGCGCGGTTGCCCACGCGGCGGTCACGTGCTTTGCGTCGCGGCGGCCCGTGGAGGCACGCAAGGGCTCGGCTCGGTCCGGGGGCCGCTCTCGCCGCGCCCCAGCGGGGAAAGCCTCGCCTCGGGCGCCGGGGGCGAGCGAAGCCAAGGAACTTGGAGGCCGGAGCAGCGACTCTGCTCTTGCATGGCGTGGCTCTACGTCCAGGCGGAAACGAGTCTGCCATAGAGAAACCAGGGGCTAGAGCAGAACGTGGAGGCAGGAGAGAGCCTCTCGTGCTGTTCCAGCGTCCCTCTCTATGACCTTTAGTCCTCCAGCTGACCCAATGAGGGGCGGGGCTCATTTGCCTAGCGCCTCCCACCTCACGCGGCTCTCTTAAAACTCCACGTTTAAATTCGAGTTGCCTTTCACGCTTTTCCCCCGCCGCTTCCCCCCTGAGGTTTCTCACCCACACTTCTCTCATTGCAGGGCAGAGAAGCGCCAATCGTGGCCCCCCAGAGCCCCCCAGGCAGCCCCACCCCTTCTGCAGCCCATCAGCCGGGGATGGAGCAAGGCAGCCCCCTTCCCTGGCCTCTTGGTCGGCCCTGTTCACACATTCTCTCTCTCTTGGTGCTGCAGCAAAGAAAACTTCCCGCCAGCAGCCTCTCCCTCCTCCTCAGAACCTGTTGAGCTTTGCTGGAAAGGACGACCGCGGGAATTTGCTTTGTTCCTCTTCCCTCCCCGTCGCCCGTCCTTTCGTGCTGTTTCTCTTTAGCTAAAGAACAGAATACAAATTCAGTAATCAACAGCAAGGCATGTCAGCTTTATGATGGGCGAGTATACATGGCACCAGGCGTCTGTGCTGGCTGCACGGGCCCAAACACTCCGTCGGCTGGAGTGGGTTCAGTGGACAGGCAAGCCCGGCGGAACGGGCCGCTTCAGCCAGATGGGCCACAGGGCTGGAGGCAGCCTCGGACTCGTACCAGAGCAGGACGTGAGATCGCCGGCAGGGAGGGGCGCGCGCAGAAAGGTGCCGGGGCCAAGTCCAAGGAGGGGGCGCGGAGGCATGGCTGAGCAGCCGCTCTTTGGGGATCCAGAGACTCCGGGTGCAAAACCGGAGCTGGGCCGTCCCGGGAAGGAGGCCCTTCAGCTGGCCCTGTGCGTCGCCCTCGAGGGCAGCCACAGACTGACGGGGCTGCCAGAAGCCGTGCGGGCGCATGCCAGCCTTTGGGGGCGCCCCACGCACCAGTCCGGCGCATCACTGGCAGCATCTGGCTCTCCGCCGCTTGTCGGTCAGGTACAGGTCCCGCTCGTCGCTGAGGATCCCTGGAAGAGGCAGGGCCAGCCGTGATCCGGGGGGCAGACTGGCCTCAGAAGAACCAGAGGGGATGGCCTCTGCCCCCCACACCAAGGGTGGCTGTTCCCCTACAGGGTGGGCGAGGCTTACGGACGACTTCGCCGATCCTGCGAGCGTTGCTTTTCTCCAGCTCCGCCGTCACGCTCCCTTCAAAGGTAAGTGCCGCCACGCGGAAGAAAAACTCCCGTACGTTCTCACCTGGCGGGAAACAGCGAGAAGGCAGCCTTACAGAGTCATCTGGAAGCAGATGGGAGGACCATGTGGACTAGCCCCTTTAGAAGGCCCATGAGGCGGATCTCTCCAGTCCAGGCTGCTGGTGCCCAGGGGCGCGAAACCTCTTTTGTCCTGGGAGCCAAATTCCATCCTGGAGATGGCGGGGGCCGCGTTCCTGGGGTAGGAGGGGCCAAAGGCAGAAAGAGGCGTGGCAAGGACCAAGTGGGAGGGGCCGACGATTCCCCGGGCTTTGCGCTTCACGCTCTTCCTGCCTCAGCAGCGGCCTTTCAACCTTTGCCCAGCAGGGCTATGCTCGCTGTCCGGGGGGTGATGGGACTTGTAGCCCAGGACGCCTCTGGGCCTGTCCACCGGGGCAAGGGATGGGGGGCAGGGGGGGCGCTTACCTGTGAGCGAGGAGACGGCCCAGTACTCGGCCTGCATCTCTTTCGCCACCTTGAGTGCATCCTTCTCCACGAGGCTGTACTGCGCCGGGGACTGAGGGAGGGGAGAGGCTCAGGGGGGCGGGCAGACGGGGGCGCCTAGCCCCGACGTGCCCAAAGCAAACGGATGGGAACGAGGGGGGACCCGGCGGGGTCGCGGGCGCTCCCCCGACGGGCGGGGGTGGCCGGGACCCCCTCCCCGGTCCTCATCCTCCCCCCGACTCACGCTGAGGTCCTTCTTGGTCCCGACGAGGAAGAGGATGACGCTGGAACGGTCGTTCTCCTTCAGGGCGTCCGCCAGCCACTGCCTGCGGGGTGAGCGGAGCCGTCGGCGTCCTGGGCTGCCGTGCTTGCCCTCTCCTCCGGGCCCCGCTCCACAAACCGGCCGCACCTGCTCCACCTGGCGGGCCAGCTGACGTGGCCGCCTGACTCGTGGCCCCCGAGAGCCAAAGAGGCTCGGCGCACACACGGCAAACGCCCCCCGTTTTGGACGCTCTTGTATTTCCCAGGGCTCTTAAGCTCGAAGCCCTAACCGTGACATCCGTATTTTTCTAAATATTTGCACGGAGTTCTGCAAGGGCGTCCTGGGGAGGAGCCGAGGGTCCCGCAGCCAGAAGCCAGGGCCCTTCCAAGGGTGGGTGGACTGCCAACTCCCATCAGCCCCCAGCAGCAGAGGATAATAATAGGAGTTGTAGTCCAGCTACATCCAGAGGGGCACAAGGTACCCACCCCGTGCAAGCAGCGTCGCTTCAGCCCCCAAATGAGGCTGCCGCCCGCCTTGCCCTGCAAGAAATCCACGTTCCCCCCACTCAGCCCCGGGCACCCACCTCGTGTGGCCAAGAGATCCCACGTCGTTCACATCGAAGACGATGATGATGGCTGTGGGGGGGGGGGAGAAACTGAATGTGCCCAGCCTCGCATCCCTGCCCCTCAGTGGCACAGGGTGCGGCCGGCTGGATGGGGGAAGGTCCCTGTTGAAACCCAGGGCCTGCCTGAGGTCCCAGCCTGGCTGCTTCTGGGCTCTGAGGCAGCTGATCCCACTTAAACGCTGGAATCCCTTCCGGGAGGCTCAGTTAGTGGCGGGAAACCCATGAAATTGGACGATGGGGCTGTTGGACCAGCTCCCCCAAATGCGCATTTTCCCCACATTTCTGCCCTGCATCTGACACGTTGCTTCCCCGTACTGCCAGCGTAGCAGTAGCCCTGCGGATAAAGCCCGCCAAAGGTGCTAGTCCACAAGAATCTTCTGTTCTTCTGCTAGCTTCTGTTCTCCGCAGGCGTGGACTGTTTGTGGCACGTCTGAGACCAAACGGGCAAACGCGCCTGCGGACTTCTCTGGCACCTCACCTTGAGCTCCGCGGTAGTAGGTGGAGGCGATGCACTTGAAGCGCTCCTGGCCAGCCGTGTCCCACCTGCAAAGGCGAAGGCTTCAGGGGCGGGCGATGGCCGGGCGGGGGCTCTGGGAGGGCTCCCGGGCTCCCCGTGGCAGGCGGGCGGAGGATCCGGGGACGGCTGGGGCAGAGCGACTTACAGCTGCAGGCTGAACGGGACCCCCAGCACCTCGAAGCGCTCCATTTCGAAGTCCACCCCGATGGTGGCTTTGTAGTTCTTGTCGAAGGTGTCTTTGCAAAACCTGGTTGGAGAAAGAGGGAGCGTATGGCTGCAAAGAGCCGTCGCTCCCCAGCCGCCGAGTTCCCCGTGTCTACATGCGACCAGAATAAGAAATTGCTTTCTGGGCTCCTGAGAGAATTTGCAGAAAAACGCATGCCGGCGACTGCATTTTGGCCGCGGTGATTTGGGGCTTGGGCCCGGGCCCTCTGCCTTCACTCCATCGCTGTGCCGCGAGCCGAGAGCGGCATCGCTGTTTCTGCTCGTCGGCTGTCGGGGCAGCGGGGATGAGGGGCTTGTGGAACCCTGCGGCACATGACGTTTGGCGGGCCGGGTCGTCACAGACCGAAATCACCCTAAAAGCTTATGACTTTGCCGGGGACACATAATCAGGCGCGGACTGGGCTGTGGAGAGAGCCGGTGCCGTGGCTGAGCTGGGGGTGCTGAGCTGAGCTGGGGGAGACCAGCCTCTGCCCCCCGCCCCCCGCGTGAAACCCACTGGGAAACTTTGGGCCAGTCACAGACTCCCAGTGCAGCCTCCCTGCCAGGGCTGGTGTGAGGCCAGATGGAACGGGAGGTCGTGCACGGCCCCGGGCAGGAAGCTAGCTGGGACGAACACACCCGTAACAGGTGGTGCTGTTTAGCTTCCATGATTCATGTTGACTTTGTGTGGCTCTGACGGATTTCATGGCTCGAAAGACTGTTGCGCTTCCTTGTAGAGGCTTCCCTAAAGCAGGTGAACAGCCGACCCTGGAGCGCCAGGGACCTAGCCAGAGCCCGGCAGTGCCTCCCCTCCCCTCCCC